AGACAGAGAGAGAGAGAGAAAGAGAGAGAGAGAGAGAGAGAGAGAGAGAGAGAGAGAGACTATCTTATAGATGAGAAAACCGAGGTACGGAAAATGTAATTAGGTGCTTGGCCAAGGGCAGATGGGGCCATTGGCAGTTAGGGCTCTTCCTCCCTTCTTGGGAGGCAAATGGTTTCCTCCATTAGGAAAGCAAACACGTGCCAGCAAAGGTCCTGGTCTCTGGCAGAAACCCTGCCCAGAACTTCCCAGGGAGCAGAACCTGGAGAGCCACACTCCTCTGCCGACACCGGCCCTGTGCTGCCTCTGCCAGCTGATGCTGACATCTGCGGGACCAGCCCTGGCCAAGTGCTCTGGGACCGCACTCTGCCTTGCTCTTAGAGTGGCCAGAGAGAGGGCCCGTGGGCAGGCCCGCAAGGTTCACCAGAGGTTTCAACCCAAGATTGTTTTGAGTTTGTTTTTACAAGAACAACAAGGATAGGTTAAGATGAAACACAACGGTCCACATTTTGAGCACAGACCTTTAAAACACATCCACAAGTTCCATTTTTGTGTATCTTTGGATAGTTCATTAGAATCTCATTTAGCACTTGTTTGCTCAGGGTCACCCCAAGGCTTGGGTTTGCAGACCCAGTCAGAAAGACTTGTAGAACAGCTGCAGGCTTCTGGTGTGGGGGTGGGGTGGGGTGGGACACAGTGCCTGCTGGGCCCCCAGAGAAGCCTCCTCACCTTGACGACGGACAGCATTCCCTCGTTGGTCTGTGGGTTGGTGTGGATTTCAAAGCTCTGCCCCGGGTTGCCATTGATGATGGTGTAGGCTGCCCGCCATGCGCCCGTGGTGGGGTCATCCTTGTCCTCCACTGTCAAGTTGACGATAACCCCCACAGTGCCTTCCTCCACTGTGGCTTGAAACTGCAGAGGAAGCAGACAGTAACTGTCACTAGTTTGAAAAATACACAGCAAGGACAATTTATGGAGATCTTCCTGTATGCACGGTATTGGTGCATTACACACATCATCTCCTTCAACTATGGTATAAATAATAGCCTAGGAGGATTGTGGCCCAGAAGATGCTACAGTCCAGCCCCCAGCTTCCCTTGGACTGAGGTGACACCTGAAGCTTTCTCCTGCAGGGTGTAGGAGAAGATGCTGGCCATGTGTATGGGGTGAGATGGTAAGAGAACAGCGGTGCCTCCTCCTCTCTGTCTTTCTCCCTCTGCTGACCTGCGTGTCCACAGCCACAAGGCTGGGGGGGAAGAGGGGCACAGAGGGAAGCAGCTTGGACCCCGAGTCTCCCTGAGGAGGGAGCAGCTAGCAGCCAGGACACCTGTTTGAACTACTGCTGAATGAGAAAGGAACTTCTATGGCATGCACACCATTGCATGTTTATATTTGTGCTTGTTCTTGCAGCCTCGCACGCCCTGAGCAAAGCATGATTGGATCAGCAGAACAGCAGAGTCACAGGAGGTGGGCCTGGGGCTTGGAGCATAATGTTTGCTGCCAGAGCTTCTTCAGACCCGAGCCTCTTCTCTAAGGAAGAGCACCCATTTCCTCCTTTCTACTCCTTTGCCCACAGCTCACACGATGATGAAACCATTTGCCAAGAAAACCTAGAGATCAACAGTTTGGAGGCTTGTTACATCTGTGGTTTGACTGTACTACATTGTAAGTAGGTGTGGTGAAAATAAATCAATAAATGAAAAATTAGCTTTCCCATAGACAGAGAATCTCATGAGTGCTCACTAACGCATTCCCTCTGAGGTGGAAGCATAAAGCATTGTTTTGGTGTTCACCTCTGACACACTCTAGGTGAGCAGTAATCTGCAAATATTTTATAATCCAATAAGCTGACAAGAAGAAGAAATATCTTTGAATTTCAATTAGTAGGGAAAGTGAATCTAGAGAAGTAAGAGGATGTCAAAAAGGCCTTGTATTCAAGAGAGGTAATTTGAGAAATGAGGTTTCAAAAGCAGTCACTGATTAATTGACTTTCAGATCATTAATCATAAACCTCAATCTTGTGTCTTTGGGGAATGGGGTGGGGATGGGAACTAATTTGTCTATTGGACCTCGGCAAACCCGGGTGAGCCGTCTGTCTGCTGTAAAAGGGGAGCTGGAAGATCCTCAGAATAAGCATGCAGGATGGCAAACGGCTGGGAGAGGGATACCGAGGGCACCGCCACATAGAGATGGCTCCCCCAACAAGTACTTTGACCTGATTCTTCTGTTTCCTGCTCAAGGAGGCTCTATCAATCTTATCTTCTGTATTTCCCTGCTCTCAAAAAAATTAAAAAAAAAAAAATCTCAAGCCAGAAAGCCAGACCCATGGTCCTCAGCCCTATCTGCACATTAGAATCTACCACAAGAGTTTAAAAAAAACCCTGGTTCCTATTCCAGTTCTGTTGGTCCTGGGATTCACTATGGTGAGGATGAAGCCCAAATCTAAGGATGACAAGCTGGTGTCAACAAAAGTGCCCATGCTGGGTGGTGGGTGAGGTGGCCTGAGCCTGGGGTGCTCAGTGATCAATTACTTCTGTCTGCCATGTGCCCAGGAGGGGCCTTGGTGACATATGTGCCATGTAACTGTTCAGATTGCAGAAGATGATTGCATAGAATAGAAAGGAAGCAGATTCTTGTGCAAAGCCCTGTGGTGAGCCAAAGGTCAGGCTCAAGCCTCGTGGGTTCCGGGCATCTCTGCTCTCAGCAAGTTCTGCATGAAGGCCCACCCAGGAGCCTGAGGGACTGCTTCACTGAGAGATGCAACTGCCATCGGCCAGCATGTCCAGAAGACAGGGATGGTGGAGGCCCCACCAGAGCTGCAGGAGGACTTTGGGGAGCCTAGGCACATTCACCTTCACTGGCTCTTCCTACTATAAAAGATTTTCATGAGTTTATTTATTTATTTTTTGGCACAGGGATCGAACTTGGGTCCTTGCGCTTGCGCAGCAGGTGGCGAAACCACTGAGCTAAATCCCTGGCCCATGAGTTTTTAAAATTACATTTTTTGATGTGAAGAAATGAATGAAAAGTTTCTCTGACTCTGAAAGTTCTCTTTTTCTGATTTTAGGGTCTTAGTCCCGTGCCGATGGTGCCCACAATGAGTGAGTCAGCCCTGCCCCTCAGTACACAGCACAGTGCCCACAGGACAGACCATCTCAAGGATGGATAGACAACGCAACTAATAAAACCAGTACATAGGTTATGTCTAAGGAGACAAGGCTGCATAGCTTTTCCCATGACACCAAAATTTTCATGTCTCCAGCACCTATGAATGGGGCTGGCAGAGCACACCCACCGTTTTAGCATGCGAGCAAATGCATCCAAGTCAAATGGGAAGGAGGGGAGGTTCTAGGAATTCTCAGAAGTATGTATTGTGGTCCTCACATGTCCTTATAGATCGTAATGAGTTCACAGCCACATTTACCACTCATCATTTGCCATCCATTCATCCATTCATTATCCATCCATCCACCCATATCCAGCAGTAAACAAAGTAGGCATGATATATTTTCTCATGGAAAGTACAGGATAGAAAAAGAGGGAGACATGAAATAAATGTATAATTATAAAAATGTTAAGTGCTAAGGATAAAACCACACAGTTCTGGGGGAGTCTGTAGCAGTATGTGCTGGTGGGGGGCAGGTACTTGATCCAGCATGAGGAGGATCATTGGGAAAAAAATCTCCTGAGACCAGAAAGAAGAGGAGGAATTGGTGAGGTGATGGCATCAGGAACAGCAAGAGCAAAATCTGGGCAGCAGGAGGAGACCTGCACATTTGCAGAGCAGAAGAAAGGAGTGTGTGGGTGGAATTCCCCGGGGATCAGGGAGACTTGCTTGACAATGGACTGCAGAAGTGGGTAGAATCGGATGGTGTGGGGCCTTTTAAATTAGCAAAAGATGTTTAGAATTTACCTTGAAAGCAAAGTGGAGTCTAATCAAGGAACTGGTTTATGTTTAAATCTACTCCAGGGAGAATTCAGAAAAAAATAAAAATCTTTAAATATAGAAAACATTAGACATAATTATTATAGTCTTTATTAAGACCATTATCTGATTCTTGCATAAACTATAAAGCTAGTTTCTTTGAGTATCCATTTAGAAACTCATTATTGCTTAATTAAACACTCATTCTATTAATTCTATTCAATGTTTTAACCCCATTATGTAATTCAAGAATGGAAAATTAAATAGATTAAAATGAAGTAGTATCATTTTACATTTCTATACAATATTCACTTTGTGATTTAAAAACAATGTGCAGACATTAATTTACCAAAGTAGAGAAAGAGAAATTATTGATTATAACACTACTTCCTTTAATTGGAAAAATAGATAAAGTTACTTTTCATTAAACTCTGTGGCAAATCAAATACCAGATGTAAAACATAGTTTTGTACAACCATTGTGGGCCGTTGGCTTGGAATGACACCCTGAAGCCCACAAATCCTTTCAGTTCAGAACTGAGCTCTTTCATTCTCCTTTCTCTGAAAAGGTGGTGTGAATTACATGACGGCCATTTGCAATGAGGATTAGCCACGGATGTGATCACCAGGGAGAAGCAGAACTTGGATTTGATTGTACACCGAGGGTGAATGCTTTCCCTCATGGACCAAGTGGGAAAGAAGCAGGAGCAGAAGATTTTAAGGGCCTGGACATAGGCAAGCCTGCATGCCTGCCTACAGATGTCCAGATTCATGAGCTGTTAACCTATGTTTTATATCTAGATGTCCTCCAAGAGCCATAGGTGGGGCTGTTGGAAAGTGACTGGGTTACGGAGGCTTATAACTGACTTGGCGTTAGAAGGTGGGTCTGGGTGAAAGAGGTGGATCACTGGACTTGAGGCCTGGAATGGTTTATCTCCCTCCTTGGCTCTTCCTTTGCCCTCTGCTTCCTGTCGGCCATGCCCTTCTGCCATGCCATCCCTGCCTGGAGCCAGCCAAATATGGACTGAAATGCAAGCCAAAATATCTCTCTTAGTTTGGGAGTGTTAGGTATTTTGTCCTAGAATGAGGGAAGTAACTAAGACACAACCTTACATTTCATAGAGAAAAGACATTGAATTTGTCAAGCTTGATGTAGCTGTCTGGGCCCTGGCTTTGGAAAATTAAAAGATAAGGTCTCAAAAAGCTTTCTAAGCCTAATTTCTATTTGTGAGGATGAAAGGGTAGGGGAGAGAGATCATCAGAAATCTAATTAGCAAATATTCTTACCAGTATATGTTTACATAAAGGATACAGCTTATTGGAAGGATCTAACCTCTTGCCGATAGCCTTATGGGTAGAGACTATGATTGATATAAATAAGATAATGCACTTAGGAGCTTGGCACATTGCCTGGCATTTATATATAAGGAGTCAGTATTTGTTAGCAAAAATAATGAGGGTACATTTTGCTCTGCATCATGTGAAATTCTTACCAGTACATCAGAGAATGTGGATCAAAACTCCGTGATGTTTTCCATTCTTATTATAGCCTACCTCATAATGTGGTTATTTGTGTAGGTATCTTATTTGCCAGGTTTGGTGTGGAAAAGCTCTTCTCTTTTCAGTTATGCATACTTGACACTCACATACTTGCTCATCCTTGTCTTGGTTCAACAATTGGCCCTTCAGTGCCAAGGCAAATGACGCTAACCTGCTGCACCCACATTTAAAGCTTGCCTGAATGTAGACTCCTTTTACCTAGGATTAGCTTTCACCTCAGAGTGGAAAGATGCAAGAATCCATTTTAATGAGTATCATTAAGTGTCTACTGCATGCTAGGAAATCTAGCAGACATAAGAAGCAGCAGGAAATGAGAGGGACCATATTTTCTCCAGGGCACTTCTCTTCTTGCTATGCTCTGCACATGTTTGAAATGTCCAGACAGTTTGTTCTCTAATTTCTGAAACCCTTTCCTCCATTCTCATGAA